TCTTTATGATGCTATTAAACTGCACAGGAAGTAAATAAAAGCCTGTGCGAGCCTCATTACCAGGCTTAGTATCTTTTAGCACCTCTTGAGGCGACGCTGTTTCTTCAAGGAGACATGACAGCGCCAACGTGTAATGATGGCAAATGTCGCGGCACGGCATCTACCTGACCATATACGGTAGCGGGACTCCAAAAATTACGTAAGCAACAACTGAGTCTTTCATATGGAAATTAGACGTAGCTCTTCACGCTCGAAATCATATAATGATTACGAACAAAAAACGCATGCAATGATACTGAACAATTTTTCTAGGACTTCTGAATTTCCTCCTTTTGAGAAATGGCGGGGACTCAATTTCATTTTGTGTCACACTACTTGTATGTTATTTTATAAAAAATTACAGTTGATAAAAAGTTCTACACTCACGTATTTCTAATCAGTGCGAGTCTCATGAGAGGCCAGTGAAAACATTATTTGTAATCGAAGCAAACTCATCATATCTTTTAGTGTGCTGATGATACTCTGAAATTAATGTGGCAAGTAAGTTTCATGCAATAGGGAGTAGAACTACATGATAGCAAAATTTAGTAATAAATTTTTCGTAACTATTTGAAATGATCTGCATCTTATTTCTTATTATTTGCGAGCTATAAAATGAGCAAGTAGAGAAATTTAACTGATCTCCGTATCAAACCTCTATGATCGGTTAAAATAAACATGATAATCCAGTAAAATTCTTGGTCACTACCGAATGATATCAAAGGATCAGTTTTCACTAAAACAATAAAAAAATTTACTGTTCTTTTTTCGAAAGGCCTCGGGATAAGCACCGGGAACTCGCTACACGCGCTCGCCGAAGGTCCACATTCGCTTCGCCTGAACGCGTTGCAAAAATTTCTCCGCGGCAGCGTATCGATTAGAGCCTTGATAAACAAGCTAATCTATTTACTGAAGAGAACTAGACAGGGCTCATCGTTTGGCGTAGTGCTGCAACAACACAATCGCTGTACAATAACACAGTAATAACAACACAATCACCACATCATACAAACAATTCGATTTCAAATTTGCCCAAGCGCTCGAAACCAAAACGCATCTGATCCCACAACGTTGCGTTCAGCTGATGGTCTCTGCTGTTCCAAATTGCTGCGTACGATTATTTTCATGAACGAATAGAATAGGGAAACTCTAAAGGGTTTGTGGTGACAATTTGCGATGAGGCCTACAAATGAGTCTATGGAAATTTTGAGAGGCTCAATTATTGTGGGCCTCTTAATTGATTGCTTTGAGGACTGTCCGATGCAGTCCTCAGTCCTTTGCATTGCTCTGATAAATCTGCGATGCTGTCGTATTTAAAGCGTTATATTTTATTGTACTTCATGTGCTGTACATTAATTAGGTTCGTCATATTTTCTGGTCTATGTTTCAACCATTATGCACAAATTATTGTCAGTTAAAATTGGTCGACATCGAATGAATCACTCTGGGCGTCTGAACTCTTCAGTTTAAACACGGCTTCGTGGAACAGAGAAAGACTATAAAGACGAATATTTTGCCAAGAATTGCGACAAATCTGAGGACGTGAGCGACTATTATAAGGCTGGAGACTTGCTTGTGGTAAAGCAAGAAACTACAAATTTAAATCCGGAAAACAAATAAGCTATAAATAAAATTAAACACCAAGATAATTGCTGCGTGAACACCGGGAAATAACTTCTCATTATGACATCATTTTGGAAGACATTAAAGTATCTATTCAGAGAATAAAAGAAAATTTTTTTGAATTTTAATTCTTCCATGCTGATGAATTTAATTCAAATCTCACTTGAGATTTGAAATGCCAATTAGATGAATATGTTAAGACTGCACATTCACGTGATTAAGAGAAAACAGCTCACGAAATCTGGATTGTATTAACAACACTGTATCTTGCTGGAATTGATTCCATTTATTAAAATGTAGTTGGACCATAAACTAGTCTCGTTTATATTCAAGATTAATTGGTCATGTAAAATAAGCATTATTGAAATACGGAATATACGGTAATTAGTTTTGTGAAACTCCGTATTCATGCAAATTTTTTTAGTACAGGAATACAAGTACATTCTTTTCACATTCACGTATAATCGACATTCAATATTCTAATTGACCTAAGTTGTTATTAATAAACTCTTTCTTCATCTATTGTAATAATATTAAAACCCTATAACATTCAGCAACATTCATTCATTAATGGATATCCGAAGATCTGGCAGACAAGTTAGATGAAAATTCTCTGGATAAAACAGGTTGCAATTTATTTATTTTGTTGTCGTTATTCAAGAATTTCCTAGCAAAAAATGTTAAGCAAATACATGAGAAATTTTTTCCGATTTGTCGTCGACTTCTGGTTCATAATGGACGTGATATTAGTCCAGGCGAAATTAACTGTACGCGCTCTAGTAACTCGATTATAGTGCCATGCATGACCTGAGTCTCGCTCTCATGAAATGCTGCATGCATGCATAATAAATATAATTTAATATGCATGTATATAATATAGTAAACATAATGCTTGCCCAGAAGCGATTGCTCATAAGCTCCTGAACAAAATGTTCCGGTTTAAAATATTGAGTGCGCGGAAAAACTTGCATGAATAAAGAATGGTTTGCTTGTTATAACAAAAAAAGTGCTGCTCAGAAAACGTGAGTTCTAATATAAGTTAGTTCTCTAACACGCAAAGCTTCAAAATACGAGTAACTCTTTTTTGTTTTTTAAGTTGTTATATAAGGAAGAATTTGTTGACGCGCCGCGGTAACTCAATTAGCCTATCCGTTGTATCTTTATTTCCATGAAATATATGATCTAAGTGCAACATTAAATTATATTTCTAACATAAATATTATATTATATCATATTATATTATATTATATTATATTATATTATATTATATATTATATTTATAATATAATTATTATAATAGTTAATAGCGTTATATATAATAAATCATTGCTGTGTAGAACGGCCATGAATTTTATGATTCATTTCATTGCAATAGAAATATTCCGATGTCATGGATTCACAAGTTGGTTTCCTATTAGATTTATATGTAGAAATAAGATCATACGCAAATCCTGATTTAGGCATTATAGAAGAACTTGCGGTCACTTTAAAAGTTACGAGAGTATATCCCCTGAACTGAGAAGGCTGCCTGCGGTAGGCTGTTTTGGCAATGCAGTCAGGTGTTGTGAAAGGAAATTTAACCCTCTACCGCCGTATGTCACTCTCCGGGAACATAGGTAACTTTCAATTTAAAATATACGTAAACTATTGATTGTGGCAACCTGAAGACGTTTATACGCAAAAGAGAACATTTTAAAGTTGTCGTACGTGGCGGCAACTATCAGTGCAAGTCATTTAGCGCTCACTAGAACGTATCCTTTTTGGGAAGTAGGCTTGTGACAATATTGCTCCGCGGTTACTCATGTCAAGCGGTAGGGGTTAAAGCGGCCTTCCTTGTGATGCATCTTGCCACTCATAGGCATGTTAAGCATATCATAACAAAGCTTCTATAAACTATTATGGTTGTCGTAATTCTTTTCGAGTCAGGTTTTGAAACTTGAGTCAGGTTGATTCGAGTTTGGGGGCTGGTTTAGTTACGAATCTAGTAAGAGATTGACCGAAGATTCATGTCTTGTTACTCCTGCGTCTCTCATAATATTTTCTCTCAACATAATTTTGAGTTTCGAGGCTGGTTCTGTTTCGAATCTGGATGAAAATTTACCAGTATATTTACGGTCTTGTAACTCTTTCCAAGTATGCGACTCCTAATCCAGTTCCCAGCCGTGTAAGCAAGTTTCAGGGGTTATGGCTTGGAAGTTAAGGACGATACATGAGCTACCGGGATCTTGATGGTCCCGAAAGATGATTGGGTTATAATTGAAGATAATGATAAAAAGTGACGCCTTTCTGAGACGGCCTATCTATTTCTTGGCTTGAAAAATGCGCCGACATGTGCACGGGAAATGTGCACAACATTATTGAACGAATGAAAACCAACACCATTGAATGAAAGATTGTATAAACAAAGTCAGACAAGTCTTAACCATCATTCTACAGTAGGTTGATCATTAGCTATAACATTAGTTATATTTGACAGACGATTCTGGTTGATATTGTACACTATACCAAGTGCTTGTGTCTTGAAACATCATGTCGCTGGCTGGAAATCAGTAAGTCGCCTAACTTGGAACCTGTACGACCAACGTTATTCAGACATCCTAATTATGAATTTTTTTCGCTAACAGATTCAAACCCAGACACTTCAATCCGATGCCTATTAAAGCTCATCATCACCCCTAAAGTGCATTATTTTATGTATTGATCTTTCTGTATTATTCTGTTATACGCAATTCTATATTCGCGCTCAATATTATCATTATTCCCATTTCATAAATGGACTAAATTGTAGTAAGGTATCCTTGTGATTATTATTCAGAATGTATATCATTTCGCGATGCGCGTATCGCAATTACAATTTATTTTGTAGAACACGCAATTACAACTCATGTTGCATAATAAAAAATTACAACTCGTGTTGCATAAGTGAAATTACAACTTATATTACTCAATGCGTGATTAAAACTAATGTTGTACAACGCTCAATCAAAGCTCATGTTGTACAACGCGTAGTTCCAACCCAAGTTGTACAACGCGTAGTTCCAACCCATGTTGTACAACGCGTAGTTGCAACCCATGTTGTACAACGCGTAGTTGCAACCCATGTTGTACAACGCGTAGTTGCAACCCATGTTGTACAACGCGTAGTTCCAACCCAGGTTGTACAACGCGTAGTTCCAACTCATGTTGTACAACGCGTAGTTCCAACCCATGTTGTACAACGCGTAGTTCCAACCCATGTTGTACAGCGCGTAGTTCCAACCCATGTTGTACAACGAAACGAACATTTACCAAGTCATGTCTCACAAAGTTTGGATGTTCCATGTTGCTATGTTGCTCAGCGCACAGCATGGCGTGCTGGAAGTGTTCACATGAAGGCCTACTCCACTGAGATGGTGTCCATCAGCAGCGGCGGCCATATGGAGGCACGTATGGACGTGTGGGTGCTCATGGCTGCCATGCTGCTGCTTCTGGCCACCGGTGAGTCCAGCCAACATATGGATGTTACAATGGTGTATGTGTGAAATGTCTCTATAAGTGAAGTTAATTATAGTTACCTACTTCAATTAATTATTAGAAACTACAAAAGTCTTGAAAACAATAAGCAGGGAAGAATAGAATTAATCAAAGTTGTTCCGAATAGATGAGAAATATATGCTTAATTAACACCATAATTTTAAAAATTAAGTTTAACGTCGAATTTTGCAGCGAACCTAGAGCGTGACGTAAAAAAGGCAATGAAAAGAGGTAATAACGGCTTTAGAGATAAAAATATATATTTATTATATTCGTACATTATATTTTATCATATTCATATTCCATATATTTTTGGAGGCGATGTATGAACTAGTCTCCCAAACGTTTCCATTGAAGATATGGTGAACTTGCTTGTCGTTTCTTTGCTTTTAAATTCTTGGTGCACATTCGCTTTAAGCAAACTAGTAATATAGTTGGGTGCTGATGCTCATAATAGCCGATTCAAACTCCACAGGATAAATTAAAATGCTGTTCCATCCTGCAATTTTCATCTTCACTCTAGAGTCCTCTGATACAACGCTATGTTCTTTCAAACCCATGTTCAACCGTTGTTTTCAAAGTTAAATGAAGTGTTTTTTTCTTTATTAGTGTAGTGTAATTTCCTCTTTGTTATTACGGTGGCAATCACCCCCAAAATAATAGTAATAGCAATACTAGTAATAGCAATTATAGTAATAGCCATTTGACAACAGTAGTCATACAATAGTAATAGTGGTAATTAGAGCGGCGGTAGCGGCGGCTCGTATGAAACATAGCGCTCGTGTCACGCCGGCCAACGACTCTCTTAAGACGACACGAGGCAAAGGAATGCTCGTAGCCTGGGCCGGACAGGTAATTAAATGCTCTTTTAAGAAGCCTTTGATGGTATTTTTAAGACTTCCACTGAACATAGCAGCTCTTAATACTTAGCTTATATCCCGGGGCAATTTTTTAATTCGACTGGATAGTTCGATAAAAAGTGATGTGCTCTCGTTTCAGTGTATAATTAACGATCTCGATATTTGTGAGCTTCGTTGAAAACATCAAACGCTCAAGTTATTTTTTAAGATGTATCGATAGTTTTGCAGAAATGTTTGCATTTTTAACTCAGTTGCGACCAGATTACCCTTGTTTAAAAAAACATTTTTGGCACAACACCCATTTCAAGCTCCTAAAGTCAAATCAGGATTGAATGAAAAGTGTGGCTTCTTTTTAAAAAAACATACAGCTCAACTTTTGCCCACCCTATCCAACACCTCTGTGAATCATAAAATGCGTATGCATTAACATGTATTCTGTCATGCAAAATACAACATATATACAATCGGCTCAGAAACGATGTAAATATTTGCAGAATTTCATTCGAGCGAATGGTGCGCCGGTGAATGTGTGTCCGCAAAGTTGCTCGTGGTGCTTTCAAGAGACACCGGCACACGAGATTCGTCGTTCGTGCAGGGGCATCTGTAGCAAAAGGGACGCTTCGTGTGGCGTACGAATAATCGTTCGTGTTCGTGCAGGAGCAGCCGGGCAGCTGTAGCAGGAGGGACGCTTCGTGTGGCGTACGAATAATCGTTCGTGTTCGTGCAGGAGCAGCAGGGCAGCTGCAGCAGGAGGGACGCTTCGTGTGGCGTACGAATAATCGTTCGTGTTCGTGCAGGAGCAGCAGGGCAGCTGCAGCAGGAGGAGGTGGTGGTGATGGAGGAGCTCACGGCGCCACATCCTGCGCGTGCAGGCGATGACGTGCAACTGACCTGCCGCTGGTCCATCAGCGGCCGCCTGCATGGCGGCGGTCCATCGCACGGGGTCAGTGGCTCAGCGTATGGGGTCAGTGGCTCAGCGTATGGGGTCAGTGGCTTAACGCACGGGGTCAGTATTCTAATGCACTGGGTCAGTGGTTTAATGCACAAGGTCAGTTGTTCAATGCACGGGGTCAGTGGCTTAATGCACGGGGTCACTGGCTTAACGCACGGGGTCAGTGGCTTAATGCACGGGGTCAGTGGTTTAATGCACGGGGTCAGTGGCTCAGCGTACGGGGTCAGTGGTTTAATGCACGGAGTCAGTGGCTCATTTTGATTTAAAACTCTATGTGTAACAGTGAAAACTATAACGGAAAGAACTAAAGCGTTTGAAAGTAATCCATTGCTTACGTATCATAAAGTAATTAAAGGCGATGCAGTAATTTTATTCTGTTTTCATGCAGCGTGACCAGGGCTTCACACAAGTCAAGTGGTGGAAGGACGGCCACCAGCTCTTCAAGATCGACCACAAAGGAGAGAAAATTGACTACAGGCACCCAGGCGTCGACATTATCGTGAGCCTTAAACTTGGCCGAGTTACTTGTTTCTTTTTATCTTTTTTGTTCTTTTTCACCCTTTTTTTTCTTGCTGCAGTGGAATGTTTAAGACATTAATTTTTCTGGCGCGAAGAAATTTTGATTCCGATATTTCTTTTCTGTTAGCTAATTTGCAAATTTTCTGATCATTAGCTTCCAATTTTGAACTATTCTAACATTAAGTTTTGTATTAATATTCTTTCTAAGAACAATTTCTAAAAAATATCAGTGTGTCGATTTTTCAACTTCTGTTTCTATTATAACTGTAATATAATATAACACAAAGGAAAAATGAAGATGGAATCTTTACAAACAGAGATACTCTCCATTTAATCCGTCCTAATCCCAATTCTAACTCCATGACACGTAATCCATCCTGATCCTAATTCAAACTTTGTGGCACATAACACTGTCAGATCCTAATTCAAATAGCGCGGGACATAATTCATTCCCTTTTCTCATTATTCGTTCTAATTCTTATTCATACTCTATGACCTTGCCTCCTGATCGCAATTTCATACACGCACGAAAATATTCCGTGCTTTTTCATTGTACTATCTTTATCTGTGATAGCAACTCCTGTAGCTCATCATACATTTTTAGTACAAACTCTTCGACTTTGCACATAATTTTCAAGACGTATGGAAAACTTCCCACGCTTTGTTCTTACAATTTTTATCTGTGATAATGGGGCCTGTGGCACATTGCAAATTCTTGATACAAAATATTTTTTTAAACCTTTACCACAATTTTCTACCTGAAGGGAAAACTTACGCGTTATTGTACCTAGAATTTTTATCGGATAGCGGGGCCTGTGACATATTGCAAATTCTTAATACAAACTGTTTTTCAAACCATAATTTTATACAAACTTGTACGGAAAACTTATGTATTGTACCTACAATTTTTAACTGTGATAGCGGGGCCTGTGACATATTGCAATTTCTTAATACAAACTGTTTTTCCAACCATAATTTTATACAAACTTACGGAAAACTTACGTATTGTACCTACAATTCTAATCTATAATGGCGATTCCTACAATTTTTATTTGTGATAATGGGGCCTTTGGAACATTACAAATTCAGAATACAAACTGTTTTTTTAAACCTTAACCACAATTTTATACAAACATATACGGAAAATTTACGTATTTTACCTACACTGTTTATCTATAATGGCGCGGCAGACTAAGGACAGCGACTCGCGGGTGGTGACACTGCGCGCAGTGAGCCGCCTGAGCGAGGGCCAGTACATCTGCGAGGTGATGGGCGCTGGACCAACCTTCCGCTCCACCAACGCTACCGTCAACCTCACCGTCGCTGGTGAGTGTGTCAACACGTCTACCGTCAACCTCACCGTCGCTGGTGAGTGTGTCAACAACACTGTCAACCTCACCGTCGCTGGTGAGTGTGTCAACACGCCCACTGTCAACCTCACCGTCGCTGGTGAGAGTGGTAGTGTGTCAACACGCCCACTGTCAACCTCACCGTCGGTGGTGAGTGTGGTAGAGTGTGACACTGACACGCTCGTCACTGACAACAATACCACTCCTTGAATTGTATTGTTCAATTTAATCTATATCTATGGTGAGGGTGATTCTCATGCATTGAACGTGTCCGAATGTTTTCATGTTAACAGAAATCGTAGAAGCATTTCCAGAGTTTCATAAGAATTTGAAGATTCTATGTGTAATTTTTTCATTCAGATAATTTAGAAAAATCTGATGGAACTTGATGACGTTGAAAAATATTTCCCAGAATTTGGTAAAACGTAATATTTAACGGGGACAAACTTGAATAATATGCGCATCATCTTCTTTGAGGAAAATTCAGTCAAACTTGTATGTTATGATCACAAAAAATTTTTTTACTTGTTAGGATAATACAGCGTACAAAAATTTTAACGAAGACAGCCACAAACTTTGGACTTATAACGCGTCCAATTCTTCGATGTTCTGTGATTGTCCTGAACTTTTCCTGAATTTTAATAAGACCTTGGTTGTTGAACATTATTTCAACGGTTTAAAAAACACATATACCGCGTATAGTCAACACTCATGTTAAATAATCACTGTGTGCACAGAGAGGTCCCTGATACCGGCATAAAAAGCATACATGTGCGGTGTATAGCGTACACCTGTGCATTATAAGCATCATGTGCACACAGAGGTGCCAGACGCTGTGCTGATGACGGGGGCACAGCGCGTGTACAGAACAGGACAATAAAAAGCACACACATGTACGGTGTATAGCGCACACCTGTGCATTATAAGCATCATGTGCACACAGAGGTGCCAGACGCTGTGCTGATGACGGGCGCACAGCGCGTGTACAGAACAGGACAGCAAACCAACATCACGTGCACGGCAGAGCACGCGCGACCCCCCGCCAGCATCACCTTCCTCGTGGGGGGCAGGGAGGTGCACGTGAGTTAACTAACATGATTCTTATATATAATATTATTTTAAATATGAAATTGCAGAAATAACAATAAAAGAAAACAACATAAAATTTTCTGCAAATTCTGGTTGAAAATATTTTTTAATATAAGTCATATATAATTTTTCTGCAAAATTTACTTGAAAATAATTTATAATATAATTTTTTTACTTAGAAATAAGTTATTATATCATTATTTTATTAAAAATAAAAAATATAATATCACAAGTTTTACAGCAACTTATACTTCAAATCTGGGCACTTTACGTACACGAGGTTTCTCGTATGTGTCGCGGTCAACACTATAGATCAGACGCCCAGGCAGTATTCATATGATTTACATAAAACATATAGGGCGAGAATGTATATTGACTTCTTGTCCCTTTCTGTTAACAGTAACAATGTTCATTTAAACAAACAGTGGCAAAGTTCATATTTTCGAACAGTCAAGATGTTCATTTATGTAAACAGTAGCTAATTTCTTTTTTTGCGAATAGTACTTCTTCAATTCAGCTAACCTTCTCTGGTATTATTGTTTGTACCGCCAAAACTTTGTACATAATTTATTCAGATACAGTCAAATGAACGGCGAATCATGCATGCATGTCAGTCTGTTTTACGTTGACGTAGAATATAATATGATCGACTCTTTGGTAAATACTAGTGGCATCCGACTTTTATTAGAAATTCCGATATAGATGTTAAATTTTTAATTCATTATTATCAAAAAAATCTATGATAAATTATCAACCTCCATTGATATTTTTGCTTAAACAACTATATATATATTTTCTATTTGAAGTGTACTGAAGCTGTTTAATTATTGTCCCATAGTATACATATAACACATTTGCATTTTGAATCTTTTTATCACCCGACTATGAAAGGTGTCAAATTTCATTATCATTGTAACCTAGAATCTTTAGGTGTCAACATAATACATGCTGAGTTTTTCAATAAATTAAGCGCTTCTTAATTACGGCTAATTACGGTTTAATTACGTCTTTTTGTCATATAACGATATAAGTCGACATGTCTGTACAAAATCAAAACCACTTGCCCTGTGATATTTCACCTAAAAATCCGTTTTTAAAAGTGGCAAGAACGAACGTATTAGCCAAACCTCTGCTTCTTTGTTTCTCATACAATCATCTTTCTATACAATTGTAAAGAAACCTCCTATATTTTCAGCCTTTTATTCTGATGTCCGTACCAAAAAAAAATCTGATCCACCATTGTCAGTAGCCACAATGCTCATCGTAGCATCTCAATCTATAACTTGTAGTCATATATCATTGTTGAAACTTTTCACTAATATATCATTAGTCACATTTTTTTACCATCACATCATTAGTGAAAGTTTGCTACTAGCAATTATCTACACCGTTCTTTTCTCAACCATCGTTCCCGAATTTTTACCAATTATCATCAGTATAAATTTGAAACTTGAAAACGTCCACCCTGTTCACACCACAATCACCCTGTTCACCCCAGCAATCACCCTGTTCACCCCCGCAATCACCCTGTTCACCCCCGCAATCACCCTGTTCACCCCCGCAATCACCCTGTTCACCCCCACAATCACCCTTCTTCACCCCCGCAATCACAAACCCCATTGGTCACCGCAATCACCTACCCTGTTCACCCCCGAAATCATTCACCCTGTTCACCCCCGCAATCACGCCCCCCCTCCCCCCTCACAATCACCCACCACCTCCCCGACCATGACTCACTTTGTTCACTCACAGCCACGGTCAGGATACGTGCAAGACTCGCCGCCCTGGGCTGACCCTAACGGCACGTATACGACACGTGCCCGCCTCACGCTGCCCGTGACCGGGGACCACGTGCCCGCCCTCGCCATCACGTGCCGGGCCCGCGTGCTCACCCTCAGCGTCGAGGACTCGGTCAACGTGAGGGTCGAGCGGGCCGCCAACGGCCTACTCAGCCTCTTCGGGGCAGGTGAGGCTGAGGGACAGGTGAGGCTGAGGGGCAGGTGAGGCTGAGGGGCAGGTGAGGCTGAGGGGCAGGTGAGGCTGAGGGGCAGGTGAGGCTGAGGGGCAGGTGAGTGAGGGTCTGAGGGGCAGGTGAGGCTGAGGGGCAGGTGAGGCTGAGGGGCAGGTGAGGCTGAGGGGCAGGTGAGGCTGAGGGGCAGGTGAGTCTGAGGGGCAGGTGAGTGAGGGTCTGAGGGGCAGGTGAGGCTGAGGGGCAGGTGAGGCTGAGGGGCAAGTGAAGCTGAGGAGCAGGTGAGAGGTTTACTCAGCTTCTGATTCTCGCTGGAGATGCAAGTCTCGCTCATGTGTTGACTCCAAAGGCCATACTTTCAAAACTCGCTATGTAAACGTAAGTACTTACGCTCTATTTTCTTGTCTATGATTGGTGGATTTTGCTTAAAGGGCCGTCAATGAATGGCTAATGAACTTACGATCTCTTAACTTTTTTGCAAGTATAGGCCCAGCTCAGCTTCTGAGTTTTGCTGCGTATCTCAAGGTCCGTTGTGAGCCACAATTCAATATTTTATTATTGAATCCAGTTATTGAAGTAAATTCAGTGTAAAATCTAAATAAACCGTGTTTCTTCCTATACGTTAGCAAGGGCTGGCAATATGTATACTTACTGACAAGTGAGAAACAAGACAACATTTCTCGGGCAGGTACACGACACAGCCCGCCGCTGCCGGCGCTGGTAATGCTGGTAGCCGCTGGTCTGCTGCAGGTGGTTGCCGTCAGGCTGCTGTCCAACGCTTGCTTATGGCGCCGCTAAGAACTAACTAACTTTAGAGCAGCTACACCGAGATAATTTTACGTGAATATCTTGCTATGGCGTAAAAATTTTTACATGAATATCTTGCTATGGCGTGAAAAATTTATATGAATATCTTGCTATGGCGGAAAAAAACTTTACGTGAATATCTTGCTATGGCGTGAAAAAATTTACATGAATATCTTGCTATGGCGGAAAAAAATTTTACGTGAATATCTTGCTATGGCGGAAAAAATTTTACATGAATATCTTGCCATGGCGTGAAAAAATTTACATGAATATCTTGCTATGGCGGAAAAAATTTTACATGAATATCTTGCTATGGCGCAAAAAATTCTACATGAATATCTTGGTATGGCAGAAAAAATACAAGGAGGTGCATCAATCAAACGCTTACTCATGTTAATCTAGAGACTGCGTAGAGAAGTTATTTATGGCTTCCTATAGGATTGTTTTGTGTTGTAAGCTGTATTAAGTGACAGAAGAAAATGGTGGTGCGGCTGATGGGTGAGTCGTATTTAAAATTCATCATTAAAAATTTTGTTTACATGCGAACTCTAATCTTGAATTTACATGCGAATTCTAAACTAGAAAAATGAATAAACAATAGTGCGATGAAATTAATTCGCTAGCAACAATTATTTTCCATGTAACATAATAGTAGAATTTTTACGACTGTGAAATATTTTAACTAGATTTGTGTTATAAATCTTTAATAAAGAACATAAACGGCTCGCTTTCATACAGACTCAGGACTCGATGAACTCAAGTGTAACGGTGAATAGGGCTAGATTTTATTTTCGAAGCTTGTAGCGGACGCAGTTTATTTAACTAAATTTCTTGTGTACATTTTAATGTTAATATTCAACAATATTTTATCTTTGTTATTATTCAATCTTATATCAGGATCTGTGTAGGCATAGGATCACTCTAGGGAAAAAATGATTAATTGTTTGATACCAATGAACAATTGAAACAAAATTCTGCCATGACACTTGAACTTTACAAGAAATTGCAGTGTTTAAGACTCTCGATCTGCTGAGACTATTTGAAAAATTGTTTATGATTTTAACTATTCTTGCATGTGGTTATTTTTTTAAGTCGATGTGATGCAGATTAGCGAGAAAATTATTCTTGAACGACCTGAGTGAAATACTTACTATTTTCAAGGTAGGTAAGTGACGAGGTATCATAAGCAGCTCCAAATTAGAATATTCAACATGATTGTCAACACCCTCGAGTAAAATTCATCATGAATTAAAAATTAAAGGCATTATAATTTTACTGTATTTTTTTCATTTTGCCATTATAAATATATATTAATATATTTATGTTTATTGAATTTTTGTATAGCTCGTTTTTTCTGCAAATGACACCGTAAGAACTCCATCGCGCATTCATTAACATGTTGTAAGACTGATTGATTAAATACCTGTAAGATATAAAGTATCGAGTCTTATTTAAACGTGGCTAAGAGTTCATTTCATTACATAAATTCATCTCTGAAAAACAAACACTAATTTTTCAAATGAGTGGTAACTTATCATCAAAATTGTTGACAAGCAATTACAAGCAACTGTCATTTTCTATGCTTCAACATTCGTTGAAACGTTGACAATGTTCGTATAATGCATTTATAACTGTTTATTTAAAATTAAAATTAATTCCGAGAATACTTATCGAATCGAGACAATTCAGGAACAGAAAAGATTTAAAATCGTGATTATAAAAACTGCAAATGAGTAAATAAGCGTAAGACGTTCGTATGTGATAAGCAAAATACCATGGGCAAATTAATATCCAGTATATTGCAGGCTTCAGTGTCCGTATGTTTGAACGATTCCCTGCATAAATTATCGAGCGTGACTTTCTCTGTACAGCTTTTAATGTTGGCTATTACCTGCACATTTAATGTAAGTCATAACTATAAATATGTCGCAGTTACCAGTGCACGGCCCCTGTTATATGTTGTTCCTTCATAAACCCGATTTGTCGTTGTGTACATAGGGTAAGAATGTTACCCCGAAACTTGAAGCATCAATAGGACACCAATATCCTTTCAATTGTTTTATTGACCTTTTAAGTCCTTAGGTTCTCTAACGCTTTGATTTTAAGCGTATTAAGTGCAAGGGCGTTTGAGTTCATAATTTTCTTGTACCTCTGGCGGTAAATCGCCGATTTTTTTGAGTCTCAGAAAACTACACGGAATCTTAGCCCTCATAAATGATCATTTGATCATACAAATAAATAAATAGTACCTCGCAAACATGCCCGAATAATACATTTCACATACAGAAGAAACTTAAAAGTTTAAGCTCTTGGGCGACTTTTACATCTCGAATCCAAAATTGTATATAATAACTTTTTCTAGCTGCTCCGTAAAAGTTTTCAAACCTCGGTTAAAACGAACGTCTCGGCTCTGATTCGTTCTTCACAATCGCCTTCAAAAATGTTCCAACAGAAAAGTATCAAAATGCTCAACTCGAAATCTCGCTCCATGATTCCATGTATCTTTTTCCTCTGTATATAGAATATGCCACAGCGTATCAACCCGGACCACTTCTCTATGTAAATACGTGAGCCTTGCGGCGAACACTTTTGTCTCGCCTCGAGAGTAGTCTTATGCTGCTGTCTTCCCGGGCTAAAATGGCCTGGCAAGTAAAAATAAATTATCACAAGACTCAAAAAATTTACCCCAAAGATGCTCAGTTTACACCTAGACCATTAGGCAGCGAAGTGTTGGAATAATTTGACGACGCTTGGGAGAGGCCATTTTTATAGAAAAATTTTCAAGACAAAGCCAACAGCTAGAAATTTTTGAGAGAACATGTGATATAAAAAAGAAAATTTGACATAATTAAGAAGCTAACTAGATATTTCCAAAGTATTTAAATGAGTTTTAAAAGGCGTATAATTTCATTGATCGAAAAAAAGGAATAAATTAATTAAACAGTTTTTTTTAGCAAGCTTGTGTTGCTCAAAACTTCAGATGTTGAAACATTTACGGTTCTCCAAGACGTTACAAATATGCATGAACGTTACGGAAACTCACACACATTAATTTTTGAGTAAATTCAACCTAAAAAAATTTTATGCAGCGTAATGTCAACAAATGTGAATAGAAATAATTAAAAACTAATAATCCGGCAAAACAAAATTCGAGGCTGCTATTTTCTCAGCGCGAAATTTCAACAAGCAAAACGAACGTCGTCGCGCATGAATATACCTAAGACAAAATATTGGAGAACCAAAAACGCAAATTAAAAATATTAGTGATTGAATTTCATTACAATGTAATTTCGATGTTAGAGGTACCTATGTTATTTAGAGAAATTTGTTATTTTAGTTGTGATGTGAAAAAATGATTCGTGAGCAGTTGACGCACTCAATTATGCACACGAAGAAAAAAAAAATGAGGGGCACGACGTGTACAGTGTAGTGTACACTTCATAATTACAATTAAAAATTGAATAAAAAACAAATTGTGGACCACAATAATTTCAAACAATATGAGTAGGAAATTTTAGCTTTTGTACGATGCTCGATTAACAGTCAATAACATATGCAGGAGTAATTGCGATTTCGATAAAAACACCTAATGATAATAATTAGGTCATGTGTGTGAATTCAAAAGATATTTGTGGCTTAGAGTTATTTATGTATTATTAATATTATTATTATATGTAGCATTTCAAAGTATAAAATGAATGGTTACCAATAGATGCGATTGACAAAACAATAACTTTGATGTTTTAAGTATTTACTTATAAAATATTTATATATTCTCATATACGTAATCACATTCTAGTTTGAACAATTATTTTCGCGTAAAAATCATAACTGTGATTTCAACAGATGATTGAATACGCCAGCTTCGAATTTTCACAACACATTCATCATAGCTGACCAGTCTCTTCTGCAAACAAAAATATTATTAAATAATAATGATAACACCTCTGCTGACACAGAACATGAGAAACCCACCAAGGAAAAAATCGTGCCTAAGAATAGTAAAGTCTTGACGAAAAACTTACGTCAACTGCAGAAGGAAATTGAATTTAGGATATGAGAGTGAAATCCAGAATATTGTGAAATATAGATAACATCTGTGCAGACATGCAACAAGATAAACCCTGAAATAATATGCGAGATTCTTGGAGAGAAATTCGTACGATGTACACGTCGTGCAGATGCTGTACACGTCGTGCAGACATTGTACACGTCGTGCAGATGCTGTACACGCCGTACAGGCACTGTGCACGTCGTGCAGATACCGTACACGTCGTGTTGACTCTGCACACGTCGTGCAGATGCTGTACACGTCGTGTCTCTGCATACGTCATGCATACACTGTACACGTCGTCTAGACGCTGCACTTAGTGGAATGCTTCAATCCAAGGAATGTTCTTGTCCAGCATTCTTTTGATGCTATAAACGAACGAAAAAATTTTGTCTCTTAATTGGCCTACATAACATTAAATAACCTATGTGTAGTAGTATAGGCCTAAATAATTAGCTAATATATCAGAAAAATTATTACTAGAAGTTTCATTCGCTCACAAGAAATGGATCATTGGATGCACAATTAAACATTACGCGAAGGACTAGGTATTAAAACTGCCATTACGTCGGTGATGACGGAGGCTGAGCTACGGGGCTGCAAGACAGGAGCAAGAACTGCATTAGTATTATGACAAAGTCTCCCTCATTTCTTTGAGTGTCCGTCGGCAGCGATGTAAGCTGAGCTACGGAGCCTCCTAGACGCGGTCCGTGCACAAATTAAGGCGACGCGACGCGCTTGCTAATGAAGCCGTGCACGTGCCTTCTCTTATCAGCCGAAACTCTAATTAAGGCTTTATTAATAAAGTTGTATCGATTTCTTCTTTATTCACTCCTTAGTGTCTACCAGCCTCCTTTTATCGGGATTTATTTCCTCGCTATGGCGTTAGACGACATCAACATCGTTTAAAAGTCACGTCAGTTGAAGTAATTCATTAGACTTTTCTAAACTTAAAGAAAATTACTACCGGAACAAGGCGCATGCGAAAGAAAGTTTGGCATCTGTAATCTTTCAAGTTTAAATATTTCAATATAAGGCGCTCACAGTTTCATGTGAAGGCCAACACTAGCGGTTGTACCAGATGCTAGGGCAACACTAGCGGTTGTACCAGATGCTAGGGCAACACTAGCGGTTGTACCTGATGCTAGGGCAACACTAGCGGTTGTACCAGATGCTAGGGCAACACTAGCGGTTGTACCAGATGCTAGGGCAACACTAGCAGTTGTACCAGATGCTAGGGCAACACTACCGGTTGTACACTCTGCACATGTCATGTAAACTCTGCACATGTCTGCAGGCATTACACGTGCAATACAAATTACACACGTGGAGGGAAGACGGTTAGGCGATATTTTCAGCCCTCATTACAATTTGCGGGGTTGCACAGAAAACTCACGAGCTCGATTGGTTGATGATGTCTCTGTTAATATTCCTTTCAGAGCATTCATTGACATCTGAAATACATTTAATGCTGACATTTCATCAGTAGATGCGTACCAATGGGTGGATAGGCCGAACATAATGTATTTCGTCAGACAAAGTAGAAAATCAAGGATATGTTAAACACCGGAAAATATTTAATTTTTAAGGAATATTTAGCAAAACTGAATTTTCAGGACGCGTGCAGAGTGTGAATAGGCCGAACATCATGTATTTTGTCAGACTAAGTCGAAAATCAAGGGTATGTAATACACCAGAAAAATTTTCAATGTATTAGTTCTTTCAAGTTTCAGTAAATATGAGCGTCAACATTGCTGATAAACTTCATTGAACTTGATGCCTGTAATTCAATTTACATTTCACATTGATGGAGAAAATGACAGATTAAAATTGATGGCAAATAAGAAACGGGAAAACTAAAATCATAACTTTGAATACAATGCACGTCTGGAAAATCAATGCGAGTATATTCACAATGAAGACAAAAGCTGGGATTCAAAATTATATTTTGAGTTGATGAAAATTTTTGGAATATCCCTTAAAACGTAATGGAGTTGAAAGGAATATTCAGCATTTTCGAATTTTCTTTCCTCAAAAATAAAATTCAGTCTTGCTCAGTCTGCATAAAAAAACGAGAACAGTGAGATAAATAAAGCAGAAGAAGCCAGTGCTTATTTAAATGTTGGAAATTTCAATTTAATTTTTAACGAAGAGCACGGGGATTATAATGGATTTGAAGTAAAATAAAAAAAAATATAGCAGCGTCATATAGGTTTTAAACACGACAACGACAGTGAACCAAAACGACTTAGCTTCCTCAAGATGAAGGGCAAAACTTTTCTTATTCAAAGGCCATCTTAAAATGAAAGCACCATTACATGTCGGTAGTCAACAAAAATGCATCGATTAAGAATGCTAATGGCATAAAAATAAATAACTTGGGATAGTTCAATAGACTATCAACAAATTCATCCGAGAAACGCCAGCAATTACCGAGCAAAGGGAAACGGAACTGATGCTGTGCAGGAATTTACGATACAAACTATGGTACTAAGGAAACACCTCCTTTTCCAGTCTCAATAACTAAATCAGTGAGGGTACATAAAATACCTTTTTTATTTCTCTTTCACTACCGTGAAAGAAGATGATAAGTTTAATAACAATTTTGCAGAGATGTAAAACTAGAACTATTTAAATCGTTTACTTAAAACTAAATCTAATGTTTTTGATATTGAACCAAGGCTGATCTACGACCATAAACTGGCCAAGAATTTTAGCCCCAATGCAACAATCTGGCAAGACTGAAACGCACAATTTTTTTCACACAACACAGTGCTGTTCTTACCCTTATATGTTCATTAGGGAAAATATTAAGAACATGATGAAAGCAAGACAATTTTGCATCGTCAGAACAAATTTAAGTACAAGCATTATGAAAAAATTAAAATGCGTGAAGAAATTTTTATTTGATGTCCTAAACAGAAAAGAATTTACAATCACCTTCATTTGAACAAATCTAGATGCACACATGCAAGAATTAATAAATAATTAAACTTATACCAGTTGTACTATGAAGCCTTAGTAATATTTAGCAGAAAAGAAAGGTTACCCTTTATGATTATACTTGCTCAGAACGCAAGTGAACGATCACGCGAAGACATCATTCAACAAAGGTTGCACAACAAATTTACATTAACTTGTGGAAGATGTATTACAAATTAATTTTGACTTAAATAAAACCTATACACTAGCTAAATGTCAAAGCTATTAACGAACCAAAATCGGAATGCACTAAGATTCAAACCTAAGGACTAAATAATAACACGAAGCTGAGTTGTTCAGCTAGGTTCATTGATCGGAAATTTAATTGGTTCATATAACAGTACAGAATATCTATACCTAGCCTAACTCAAAAGAATATGGTCCATAACTTAGCCATAAGAACAATTGATGACGCAGCTTAAGATTGGTCGTGTAAAGCTTTGGAGGCAGAGGAAGAGAGGGAGTCGAGAGCACTCAAGCTCTTCTGGAGTCGCACCACCAGCGCCTTGCGCTCTGCTCTGATGTCATCATCACCCTGCTCACAAATATTAACTTTAATTATTAATTCCTGGAATAGAGATATTCTTCAATGTCCTATGTAATTTTGTACTTGCAAAACTTCATGCAGATTGTATAATTTTTCAAAAAGTTGCTAATAGGTCACTTTGGCCAAGAAATTAAAAAAAGAGAAATAGAGTTGGAGGAAAATAAAAATGTTAAAAAGAGAGAAAAATTGTAGTAGGTATCTTTTGGATAAAAGGAAGTAAGCAATCAGAGTAAAAATTCTGACCATTGATGAGATAGCAAATTTAAAGTTGAAATAAAATGAACAACAAGAAACTAAAGATAAACAGTTAAAAGACAATCTAGCAAAAACACAAAAAAATATCATTGTAAAAAGATAAATTCCGACCTCAGTTTCAATGGCATCGAGTTTGAGCAGAAGTTTCTCGTGCTCCTCGTTGCAAGCGACGACATCTTTTAGTTTGGTCTTGAGCTTGTTCCGACACTCCTCCAGCTCAGGCACTACTGAATCAATGTCTTCTGAGAGCTCACGGACCTTGTCTTCACAACGGTCCGCTTCCTCTTTCAACTGCAACAAAAGTCACAAGAAGAATTGTAATGTCTTAGAATTGGCAAGTTCATATATACTGAAAAAAGTATTCACACTGACAGAAAAAAAGTTATGATGGGCCAACATTTCATTCCTTATGATAATGAATGCATCTGTGTTTGATTTTGTTTGAAATTTAACAACAACAACTTTTTTCTAAACCACAATATCTTTGCCACTTGATGCAAGTTTTAGATTAAATATGAATACAATTCACATTATATTTATAACCCATCTAGAATGTGTAGGAACTGGTTTGTGTGCACCAGCTGCTAATAAAAAGTGAATCAAGCTTGGGTATTTCATGACACTGAGAACTTGCCCACTTACTTGCTGCAAATTTCTGAAGGCAGGATGTACATTTTGTTCAGGACTCTGCACACACAGTACAAAATAGTAAACGAATCAATTCACCAGCACAAGGAGTGGCAAGATAATAAAAAGCAGAGAAATAAAATTTTACTATAGATTTGAATACTAGTAAGATATCATCAATAGAGAATCTAGATAAATATATCATTGGATTCAAGGAAAATTGCACCAGAAACACATTTACAATTAGAAAATAATATATTAATAATCAATGTACTATACATTAAAATTGATTCAACAGAAATTTCCATTGAGCAAACATTTACAAAATAAAAATGTAACATTTCATAAACATTTTCAAGTAAAAAATGAAATAAGAGTATGGTATTTACTTCAAGTTAGTCAAAAAGTGGGAAAAAGTTGTGTTTCATGAACATTTTTTTGCAGTACAACCAAACTAACTAACTTTGGATAATTTTTGGGCAGTGTATCCATGATTGTTCTTGAGCAAGACCATGATGCGCTCGCCATGCTTCACACGAAGAGCTCCCATGGTGAGGCTGGGAGTGGTCAGCTGGCGTCCTCTGAAGAGCATTCTAATTAAAGAACACAATGGCTCTTCAGTTGATGGAGGGGATTCCTCTAGCACCTCAAGAAAAATCTGAAAATAAACAACTTATCAGTGAGTTTACATGTGTTTGAAGAATACCATATTTGTCATGTAATATTGTATTATAGTCAAAAAATCATAAGGGGAAAGAAAAATAGGAGTATAAAATAGAAAAATTCAAAACTAATATAGAGTTCATGAATATCACATTCATTGCTTAATTTTAATTCTTATTGGCTGTAGCAGTAAAAAGTAGTACTTGAAGTCATCACATTAATAATCCATTATGAATAGTGTACTTTGTAATTCAAAATTAACCCTTTCACGGGTAAGTTACCATATATGATCACTTGAAATCGCATCACAAAAAGCCTCACCACGGCTTCCTGTTTGTTTTTGAGGCATCCTTATAATGCCTCAGTCAATCACTAATTAACTGACCATCGTTCTATCTATAGCATCACCAGCTGCAAACGCCACAAATTGAAATATGAGAATTTAAATGAAGGTTTTGACTCGGACAATGGAATTGACGCTCTTTCTGCATTTTCTTCAAAGGGTGGAAGTAACAATATATATATTTATTTATTTTGGCAACTTGATTAAATTTAATTAAATTAAATTTTTATGTTTCTAACTTTTCATTTGCATAAACTGAATTTTAATTATAAAGAAAAATTTTTTTTTACTGATCGCATTTATTGAATTCTTCAAGTGTGATTTAAACCTTCAATAGGCAAAATTTGCAAAAATTCATAGAAATAAATATATTGTATAATACTTCTTACTTTCTTGAAATGGTTTCTGAAATTCTAATTTCTGGATATTTCAATGCTTGCCCACTAAAGGGTTAATTTCACAGGAGATGAGAATCATACCAGAAAATGCACTGATCAACACCAAAAATATTTTGAGGTTGAGATATCCACTGACCATATATGCAAGTTCCTCCACTGTGGTGTCTTCTCTAACCATCAGCATGTGTTTCTTCAAGCCAATGCAAATACAAATACTTAACTCTCCCATGTCAGCTTTCTTTTGTTCTTCCTTATTTTGAGAACCTGAAAAATTATTGAACAAAGTCCAAACAGGGCCACTGAGGTATTCAGTTAAACCAGTTAACATAATTTTTAACCACTCTGAAATAAATATTTATTAAAATGGACATTTTATTGATAGGAGGCATGTTTTTTTAAGTCAGTACTGTTTTGGAATTAAAAAAATATGTGCTAACTGCTAAGATATCACAATAATCTTATTTTTACATGAAAGCCTGTACCTCTATCTACTTTTCTATATAATTTCCGTGAATATTGAGGTAATTACCATAATGTGGCACGAGTTTTTGAATACCCTCCTGATAAAATTCTGCCACCTAACTTGTTAACCACTGCATCACAAATGTTTTGACTTCATTATGGTCTTGAAGACACTGACCCCCCAGGTGTTTCTTCAAGTGCTGTGTGATGCATTTGATGCGGTGTGACGCATCACACGACACTTGATGCATCAAATGCATTACACTGCACTCTTCATTTGTGATGCATTGGTTAACAAGTCAGGCAGCAGAATTTATCAAGAGGGTATTCAAAAACTAGTGCAACGTTATGACAAGTGCCTCAATATTCATGGAAATTATGTAGAAAAATAGATTACAGTACAGGCGCTCATGTAAAAATAAAATTATTGCACTATCTTTAGATGTCTCTTTTTAATTCCAAAATGGTACTGTCTTAAAAACATGCCTTGTAAATATGTGTTATTTTTCACTATGGTCAAAGCAATTTCTCATCTAATAACAATTTATGCACATTAATATTTAACACAGAAACAAATCCTGAACATTAATATTTAAAAAATGTTTATGAAACATAGATCAATGTCAAAGATAGCAAATTCAATGCCTTGAAGATGCAAATTCTTTGCTCCAAGACCCAGATGCATTGATAATTTATGTTCCTGCAGATAGCACTCGGCCAACCAAGAACTACATTAGTCATTACTATTTATTAGTATTTAGGTGCCATTGGGTTTGAGTGGAAATTTGCAATTGATATGGCAATTAATAAATGGTCAACATGGACTATTGCATATTACAAACAAGCTGAAATAGCCACTTTCATATTAGTAACTTCAATAAACTAGTAACTCACTGGTAACTTCTTACAAGTTAGTTGAATTACAACTGAGTAACATGACTAACAAGAGATATGGATTTCATGGCTCAAAGAAATGGAATCATTGCTGGCAAACTCATAAAACCACAGCTCAAAAAATCCAGTCATGGCATGCCAAGAACCAGTATCCTATATTCCATGCCTGATCTGGCTGATCAATTGGTGTGGTACCAAAAACTCTGTTGGTATTATCAAAATTAGGAGCATAGTGGAATTTAAGCAAGAGCAGAGTCAGGATTGGAATTTTCCTACTGGTTTCTGAAATCTCAAAGCTCCGGCATAACAAATTTTGAATACATTTGGAAACTCATGGCCCAAACCTTCATTTTTGTTAACAATTAGATAGGTGGTAGGCTAATTCATCTATCAGAAATCTCGCGGTTCTGGAAATAGCGGGAAAGCTCCAGTTGCAGCCCTAAAGGAAGATGTTTTCCTTGCTTGAGCAGAGTCACAAGTTACAACGCTCTACCCCCAACGGCCCAACCAGCATAGGATAAACGTGGTATATTCTGACATCGTGGGTAATTCCGACACTTCTCAACTTTTTCCTTTATATTAAGCTTTCTCTTAGTTCCACACATTCTTTGATGGTTGAAATAGTGACGTCATACTATTGACAAAACACTAGGTCTGGGCCGTCTGGCAGGGAAATGTTAAGATCCAAAGAGAGACCGTGCACGTCACCCAGTGAGAACATCAAAAAACGTGTCAAAGTCAATAGTAGACCTTGCTCTACCAAATAGTGATAAACTGTTTGTGTAGAAAGAATATTATGGTTTGAGACTTTTAAATAAGTCTGTAAATATATTAGGAATCCTTTAAGTATACTTGTATTTGCTGATTTCAAGTGGTAAATAAATTAATAGATGATCAAGTTAAGAGACCGTTTTAGACACATAAAACCTAATTCCGACACAGCTTGGAATTAGACACACTGCTCGTTCCAAGTTGTGTGCAAAAATTAAAATTTTCTTAATTAAAAGCTTAATAGCTTTTAATTAAAAGCCTTATTAAGTAGTGTTCAACATTCAATGATGTTTTAATTCCAATTTCCAAGCTGTGTTGTATTCCAATACAGCTCACACAGCGTTTGGAATTCAAACACAAGAGCGTCAGAATTACAAATTAGTAGAGTTTGAAGTGCAGCCAGAATTAGTCTCACAAAATGCCAAATTTAGTCACACACAGCATCAGAATATATGGATTTGGTAGATTTGCATTCTAAAGGCTTTTAAATAAATATGGCATCATTTTGTGACGTTTCATTGTTGCTGGCACGTAGTACGGTGTTTTGAGAGTGACATAAAGCAAACAGAACTCCAGTTGCGCTTATGATTTTTTTATAGCCATTCATTTTTTTTTTTGCTATGTCCTTAATGTGTCGGAATATACCGCATTTACCCTAGGCCATAGGGCTCCAGTGCAGGCGCCAGGTGATGGCCAGTGTATTACTGTAGGGTAAACGCGGTATATTCCAACATCATGGGTAATTCTGACAACTCTCTAGTTTTTCCTTTATATTAAACTTTGTTTTAGTTCCATGCGTTCTTTGATGGTTGAAATAGTGACGTCATACATTTGCGCGTCAAACTACTACCAAAACACTAGGTTTGGGCCATCTAGCTGGAAAATGTTGAGATCCAAAGAGAGACGGTGCATGCCTCCCAATGAGATCATCGAAAAATGTGTCAAAGTTGACAGTTGACCTTGCTCTACCAAATAGTGGTAAACTGTTTGTGTAGAAAGAATATTATGGTTTGAGACTTTTGAATACGTCTGTGAATATATTAGGAATCCTTTAAGTATACTTGTATTTGCTGATTTCAAGTGGTAAATAAACTAATAGATGATTAAGTTGAGAAACAGATTTAGACACATAAAAACTAATTTTGACACAACTTGAATTGGACACACACAGCTCGTTCCAAGCTGTGTGCAAAAATTAAAATTTTCTTAATTAAGGGGAGCATGTAGGCAAAAATTTTGGATTTTGGCTTTTCCGGTTTTTAATCTACCCTTAAAGCTGACATTCTGCTCTATCCAACGGTACCATTCCCATCTCTGTACGTCCATTTTTAGATTCACGACACTTCATGAAAGGGGGGCAGGTGGGGGAGTACTTTAAGTAATTAGATGGGAACTAATTAGCTGCTGAGCTCTTTAAATATAGTGTCTATTTGAGTTGTGCTGCAGTTACGTGTTTAGTCTCATCTTAAAGGTGACATTCTGAGCTATCCAGTATCCAACGGTATCATTACTGTCTCTGTACGTTAATTTTGACGTACACCACACTTCGTGAAAGGGGGGCAGGGGGGGAGTTCCTTCAGTAATTACATGATTGAGGGAAATTTGCTGCCTAGCACTACAAATACAGTGTTTTTAGAAAGTGTAAGCCAGTGTGCCTCCGGGCGTCGTATGGGGGACGTGCGCATGTAGTTGCTCCCACCATCCTTGATTGGAATCAAGCTCCAGAAACATTTACTTTGGTATCTATGCTACATTGACCGCCTATTGCGGTGCACCTGCCAGTATGGAATTCTAGCCTCTAGAGCCTAGAGCAGGATGGAATTCTAATTTCGGAGGTTCATATATTATTTCGATCCACCAAGACCACTTCCTCTATCCAACATTGTTATTTGAGGCAAAAAATGAACTTCTTAAAGGCTTAAAACACGCACGCTAACTTGCTCAGTTTCTATAAAGTACCTAATCACTTAGAAGTTGTAAACCTGCATCTGTCACTCAACAATTAAAATTAGACTTATAAAAATTATTAGTTAGTTGAAAATTTGTCTCTTAAGTTGACCGCAATGAACTAAACTTCATTAAGTAATTATAACTACGCTGCAAAGCAGAGTTTCACACACACGCACACTAAACATCATGCACACTAAACACGCAATTCAGAGTTCAGACAAACAGAACTATATATCATGTGGGCCAGCTTGCAACTGAATTAAATAGGTACCTACTAACTTATTTCCTGCTCCCGGTGCATTTCTAGCGGGTTGATCAATCGTATACTTAATTCATATATGATTGTATATGAATTACGAATTAACTAATCATTCGTATACTTAGTGCAAGAGAATGAATAATTATGTTGTTTCTGATCAAACAAGCAAAAACTTTTTCTGTTTCTGATCAAACAGAATTAAATTCTATTAGAAAAATGTTGAATTAAAAATCTGATTATATTTTTTAAATTAAAAATTAATTTTTATTGTATTAAATTGTATTATTAATGAACTATATGGTACGTGCTCTATGTTTTATATAATGAAATAGTTTCCCATGTTAAACAATGAAAATTTTCTAAAAGACACAAAACGTTTGAAAACGCGGGATGGCAGACGAAATCATTCAGAATTTGAAGTGAATTGATCAAGATAAATTCAACATAGTAGGGAAAAAATTCAAATCTGGAACATATAAATAGGTTTTATAATTTAAAAAAAAATTTCAATCATTTAAATCTCATAATGGAATGTGAATCAAGTCTATTTATTGTGAAATCAAACTAGACACAACCAAAACATAAGTGTGAGACACCGTCTTGTGAGAAGTAAACAGAAAACACCATGTGAATGTATGCAGTGAAAGAGTTGAAGTTTATCTCATAATTTTATGTGAAATCGAAAACTTTGTGGGTCTTGTCCATTTGTGAGAATTTTTTATGAAGCTGGATGTGTTTTTTTTTTATTTTAGAACGTATTAATTGCAAAAATGTGTCCGCTAGCCTACTGATAAACGACTAGTTAACTTGATTAGTCGTTGGCAACACGGGATTGGATTTCAAACCACGCGCAATTTCGGAAGTACAGCCGTTTCAAATGTGCTCAGTTCATCAATTTTCATTGCAGTGGAAGGTGGTGTAACGCGGTGGTAGGGTTGGTATTTCGATACGTTTTCTTATATTGACATGAGAATATATTACCTATACAGAATTGCACACTGGCCTA